CCTCCAGTGCTGGGACCTGGGGAAGATGGCTGGGTATTGACATGCATCGATTTGGGCCATGATGGCTGGCTGTGATGTTCACAGGCTCAGGCTCAGAGCGTCACTGCTGGGGTTACAGGAGCTCCTGTGCAGCTGCTCTGGGGATTATGGGTTGCATTTAAGCATAAAGTGCTCGGCAGTTCTTGGAAGCGAGGAGCCCAGCAGGATTTGTAGGTAATGCCATGGCCTCATAGAAAACACAGCCCTGAGAAAACCTTAACCCTCATTCCTTTGCCTGAGGGACATGGGGTAAGTTGGTTGAGGGCACAACGTGCTGAGTTTGGGTCTGTGCAGGGGAGATCTGGGGCCGGGGGGTAAAATGAGGTGCTGAGCTGAAAGGATCCTCTTTTTGGAAGGGGGAAGTTAAGCACTTTGTAAACGCTTCTGAGAATCCTGACCTCACGTATCTCCCTGCTGGAAGACTCCTATAGCTGTGTGCATGCTCCTGGAGCATGGGGCTGTTCTCTGAGTTCAAAGTACTCCGTGATGTGGAGCTGAATTCCTCCAGCAGCCACACGTACCCTTGGCCATGAGGCTGTTTGCAGCCAGCCGCCGTTCTGTCCTTGCAAACACTCGGATGGAGGTGAAGATAAAAGTACTGCTTGCTTGCCTTTGTTCCTTTTCAATTCTAGGTGATCAAAACAGCCCAGAGCACTGCCTTCCCTGGGGACCAGCCGTGCTTCCATCTTTGTGCAAGCACTTTTTGCTGGGTGTGTGTATGTATTATTGTTCTGTGCACGTGTGATTTTCTGCTCGTGCACAATTTTCTGCATATGTGCTTTCAGCACGTGCATTTTCGGTCTGTAAGTCCCAGTTCATACTGAGCTGCTCATCACAAACACTTGGCCTGCTTTTGGTTCCATGTATCAACATCACCCAGTCCAGTAAATCACAAACCCATTTATCTCAGAGCCATTGCTTTGTACTCCAGATCCAAAACGTTGGCTCGTGATAAGCTGCTGTTACAGAGCTTTCCCCCACTGATGAAGGTGTGCTTCCCACTGAAGGCCTTGTGTGATCTGGAGTGTGGGACCCCCACGTGCCCTGGAGATGTGCTGCTTTAGCAGGTTGCTAGCATGGAATTAGATGGCTCAGTGCCTCCAAGCCATTCAGAGCCAGCTGGGGATGGACGTATCCAGGATTCAGGTTGGGTATTAAGAACAAATCCTTCTCCAAAGAGCAGTCAGGCACAGGCACAGCTGCCCAGGGAGTGGGGGGTCACCATCCCTGGGAGTGTTCCAGAATGATGGGGATGTGGCACTGAGAGACGTGGGCAGTGGGCATGGAGGGGTGGGTTGGGGATCTGAGAGGTCCTTTCCAGCCTTAATGTCTCTAGGATCTACGAGTGGGAATGGTGGTGATGGGCTGACTGTTGGACTTGATCTTGGATGGTCTTTTTCCAGCCTGTAGGTATGATCCCATGAGTGGACATGGTGGGCATGGGTTGATGGTTGGACTCAATATTGGGGGTTTTTTCCAACCTTTGTGAATCTGTGATTCTACGATTCTAAGAGTGGTCGCGGTGCGATGGGTTGGGGTTGGATTTGGGGATCCTAGATGTCTTTTCCAGCCTTAATGATTCAATGAATCAACCATTCTGTGACATGGGCAAGGCCAGGAGGAGACAGAGGCTTAAAAATGAATCAGATGTCCCCAATATGGAGCATGTGGGTCACTGCAGGTTGTTTCTCTGATGGTCATCATAACCTGAACGAGGCAGTCTGCCAAAACCCCGTCTTAGACCGATCCTAAGAGATACCCAAGAGGTCCCCAAATGCTCACCCAAGCTGTCACCCCAAAATGAGGTGCATTTAAAGCTAAAGCAACACAGCGTGCTTAACTGCAGCACTTCCACTGCCCCCTCTGCTGCTGCCCCTTGGTTGGTCTCTAAGTGCTTTGAAAACAAAGTGATGGGTTTCAAATGCTTTTGCAGTTTTATTTCCCTTCTTGGAAAGGAAATGCTGTGTGGTGGAGAGGAGGGACGTTTAACATGCCACATTTGGGATTTCACTGAGCTAAAAGCAGGAAGTCTTTCAGTGAGTGTAAAACCACCCTTTCCCCCCCCCCCTTTTTTTTGCTACACCAAGAGAACTTCCAGCCCCATTCTGGAGCCAGCATGGAAGAGCTGCAGAAGGACAAGCCGTGTTTTGCTTGGCTTTCCTCCTCTTGGGGAATCAGTCCGTATTTCGTATTCATCACTTGTCAGAGGTTTTCTTTTGAGCCTCATGATCTGAACCTGCTAAGTAAGGCAAATCCAGATTAGAGCCTCTCGCAACAGAAATACTGGAGAGATCAGAGGGAGTTGGATGGAGGCAGGTGAGGAGCACCAACTCACTGCACTCCTAAATGTCACCATATTTTCTCATTCAGGGTTGCCGTAGAAGCCCCGGAAGGCTGAAATTTATTACTCTGCCCATATTCAATCTGCAGGGGAGGCACTGAGTGGAGCACTTCTCTTGGGCTCGTTTCTCAAATCAAAGCAGGAAGAGGGAGTGGAATTGCTGCAATTAAACGTGCTCTGTTTCTTTGGGTTTGTTTTGGGGTGACAGCTTGGGTGGCCCTTTGTGCCTCAAACGGAGCCCATCCTGAGCTGCAGGGCCCAAACTCAAACACAGCTGCAGTCTGGGAGGGCTCTGACTGACCCGAGCTCTTGGCTTTCCTTGCTGTTTATCTTGTCTTGTGTTGGAGGAGTTTTAATCCTCCAGACATGTGCCAAAATAGCACAAAAGCTTCTTGTCTTACGGCACTTTGCTCAGAGGCTGCTCTGGTCCTTCAAGAAGTCGAGACCCTGCACTGCTCCGAGCCCCCAGGACGGCACCAAGCAGCAAGGATGCCTGTGAATTATTATTCTCCATGTGCTATTTAACACAAGCCACAGCCACTGGCCTCTCCTGGGCTGTGGAGGTCCCTGAGGAATCAAGGACACGTTCCAGCCTTGGAGATAAAACTGACCTCAAGCGAAGCCAATTATATATAGCCACTGCCCTTCTCTGACCCTTCTCCTCCAGCTCTGTGGTTTGCTGGCTTGGGGTCTCGTGTGTCTCCAACTGCCCCATGAGCCCTCCGACAGCTCCAGTGTCCTTTTCCCCATTTCCTCTTGTGACATTATCCCAGTTACCCATTTTCTGCTTTTTCTATCTGCAGGGGTGGTATAACTGGCTGGGAAGGTGCTGGACCGTCCCATCTCTCAGATAGGTGCTTCTCTGGCATCAGAGGCATCACATAGGTGGATCCATGGGGAAGAGATGGACAGTGGGGGATTCCATCCTTTACTGTGACTGCTCCATCGGGCTGGGGCAAGGTCATGACACTTCTACAGATCCAGCCCTTCCTGCCTGCCCATACCTGCGATCCTTTTCCCTGCCATGAACGACAGTTCACACCCTGCTTCCTCCCCATTTCCTCCATCTCCACAATATCACCATCCAAACACCCATCCAACATCTTCCCAAATCCAACAGTCACTCAATCCACTCCAACCACCCATCCAACATCTCCCCAAATCCCTCAAGCACAGGTAATTGCCCCCCCCCCCCCCCCCCTTCCTTTCCCATTGCATCGAGATCCCAGCTCCTCATCCCTGCCCCCAGAGCCCTCTCCCATCCCCATTGCACCCATCTGTATCCTCAGGGACATCCCCTTCACTCTCCTCCAGCACCAACACCTGCCAGGCTTCTTGCAGAAGTCACAGCAGCATTGATGATAGAAGGACCAGCGCCAGGCAAGGCAGAGGAAAGGACAGGAAAGAAAAATAATGCTTGGGTGCTGACAAACAGCAAAAGAAAACAGCAAAAAAAAAAAAATCAGGGAGAGAATTACTGCTCTTTTTCTGGTGCATAAATCTTCTCCTGCCCTTAATTAAGGACAAAAGAAAAAAATCTATTAATAGAAAACAAGCAAGAAATCATAGCAGGTGACCTGCTGTATTTGCCTGGATTAAGTGGGGGATTACAGGAATGACTAGCGATGTCAATAAGGGCTCTGGACAAATTTTTCCTATTGCTGCTGGCTTTCTGGGAACAGGAGGGATGTGCAGCTGGTCATTCGGGTGGATAACTTCACTGAGGCTGAAGCAGGGAGAAGGTGAAAATCAAAAACCCCACAGTGGTGGTCCTGGCATCACTGGCTCGGGAGCAGAGCTGTGCGTTCAGCTCGTTAAATGCAATTCTGACAGTAGCACAAATCCTGGGATCTCTGACAGCTCCTTGCAGGTGGGAAGGAGAGAGAGAAATGAAGGGAGAGAGGAGAGATGTGATTGTATAAGGGCTCTCTGAGGGTAAAATAAAGCTGATCTGAGCAGATGGCTTCCTGCCACCTAAAACTTCCACGCTGCAAAATCCCATTAAGCGCAGAGTTTAATAAAGTTCTGGATATCAAGGAGCAGCAGCTATTTAAAGCCTTGAGCACCTGCCAAACGTGGCTTTGTGAGCCATATTTCCTGTCCCAGGTCATTTCTCCCATCTCCTGGCCACGCTCTCACCTTAGGAAATGCCATCATTTGTGACACGGGGTCTCAGTGCTGGTGCTGCTGTGGCATTCCAATGGGGGGTCTGAGGTTCCTTATAAGCAGCCTCACACGAGAAGTGATTTTCCCAGCCAAGGTCTTTATATCCCTTCAGATATCTTTGAGGAATCGACTTTTTGCAGCACAAACTTTACCCAGCTAGCCTGGGAAAATGAAACTTGAACTAAATGCAAAGGAAACCATAATTCATGTCTGCCTGGAAATATCTTGAGCAGCCGGCATGGAGACCAGCTGGGAGGTGGGAGCTTTGTGCTGGGGAGTTCCAGTGGTGTGGGGTCAGTCAGGTGGGATCTTGTTGGCTTGTTATCTTCCATGTGTCCTACAGGGAGGAGTGATGGAAACACTGGGAGAACCAAGTCCTTCTCCCCACACTGTGTGGACCATGAATTACCCACACATGAAGCGAAACAATCCCAGAGACAGGGAAAACTTGAAGCTTGATGTCCACAATTCCACCTTCCACAAGCTGCTCTACATAAATTCGAGGTGACTGTCTTCTGGGACATTATATTTGGCTTTGTGTTCCTCAAAGAGCTTTCTCAGCTCTTCTAAGTATTTCTGATGGACTCGATCAACCTCTTCGGCCGATGGTTTGTGCTTCTTCAGCACGGGAATTGGCTTCCCAACTGGAAAACAAGAGCAACCATTAGGTCAGGTCTCCATGGACCTGCACGTGTTAAGCACAGAGATGGAATCCCACCTTTCCATAGATGTGAAGGACGTATTGGTATGAGCAGTCATGGTCTGGGAGACAGCATAGCCAAGGAGGCAGGGAGGTGGAGGTCCATCCCAGTGCAGCTCCTACAGCTTCTCTTAATATCTCAGGTGCTTTTTTCAAGACAAATCCACATAATTTGATTCCAGCCCCTTCCCATCTCCCAGAGCCACCAGCAGTAGGACACTTCTCCTGCTCTGCCCCCTGACTCTAATTGTGTTTGTCAAGCTCAGCATTGTGTAACACTGCTCCTCATCGAACTAATGAGGAGCCCTTCTGATACTGTGCTGCTTGTAAAACCATTGAGTCAATCCAAACAGGCTGTAAAACAATTAGAAGTAATTGCTGCCTGTCAAACCTAATCAGCAGGGTGAGCCCTGACCTTTCCAAACAGCCTCTTTAATTGCATTAATTCAGGCCATCAGCCGTACTGTGGGCCAAGCGTGGAGCTGTTGAAACCAGGTGGAACTTCATCACAACCAACACGTTTCTTTAAATTTGGTCTCCTGTTGTGCATGGTCTTCAATGAAACCAACCTGGCTTGTTTGTGTACAGATAGGCTGGGGCTTGTGCCTGCATCTGGGATGCTGGGCAAATCCTGAATGACTTGTGGGATTGCTTGGAATATTATGGATAATATTATTGGATATGCTTGTGGGATTGGCTTGGAAGTTCAACCTAATGCCATTACAGGGTTTTGTACGACTTGGTTCTGGTGGGACTGAGACTGGATGCGTCTCATGAAGGCAATGGAGCATCTCGACTTGCTCTGGGGCTTTCTCAGCACTATTCAGACCACTTGGGTTCTGCAGGATGACAAAGCCAGAGCTCCAGACTGGTGTATGCAGGGAACCCTGTGTTATCATTTCTCTGTGCCAACCCAAAGGTGCTCCAGTACCACATTCAGCTGAGTGACACATCACAGCTCCCAGAGCTGCCTGGACACTCAGGCAGTCATACCCAATTGCGTTGTTAACTTTTTCCTTCCATCTACAGATGGGGAATTTTTTCTATCTTAAGGAAACATATCCCAGAATCAAGGACCACTTAAAAAACCCTTTTTTTTTAAGCAAAAAAAGGACCACAAAAAGGGCAAGTGAGCAGTGGGAGGTGCTTCATTGCCAGCAAGTTTCCAGCCCATGCTCCTTGCTCCTTGGCTCAGCAGAAAGAAGACACGGCCCAGGGACCATCCTTGACCAGGCTTTGGCCAGGCTTTTGTTGAGGAGGGACTTACTCACGGTGTTGATGGGCCGGCGGTAGGGGACCACCCCAAAGCTGTACTGGAAGATACCTCTTGCGTGGAAGAGGGGCAGGGAGATGCCCATGATCTGCTGGAGCCGGTGCTGGATCCACCGCAGCCATGAGCCCTTGGGGTTGCTCAACTGGTCGTAGAGCTCATTCTCCCCAAAGGAAAAGGCAGGAACCAGTGGGGTGCTGCAGGGAGATGAACACAACGTGTGGCCAGGTCGATCAGTAAGGCCAACCCCAAAACACCCTCACAATCCCCCAGAATTCACCTGGAACATCCTATTGACCAGAGCATCCCTCCCCAGCCACCCTGTAGCCCCATCCTTTGCATCACCCCTGCTTGATGGCCACGCGGACAAATCCCTTCCTGTTCTTCAGCAGCAAGGTGCAGGATCCTGGCCGGGCATCCAAAGCCTCCTGAGACCCACCGACGATGACAGCCAGCAGGTTCCCCCCCTCTGGCCTCTGCAGCACATGGTACGCGCTCTCCTTGTCAGAGGACACAAGGCCTGGGAGGTAGAGAGGAATTAACACTCAGCATCTGTAAAACCTGCCAAGTGAGGCTTATTCCCATTTTCCTTCTTCATCCAGCTCAAGATTGGTGCTCAGTGCTTTATTTTCAGTTTTCCAGCGTTCTGGAAATCTCAGCCCAACTCCTCAGGGTGATGCAGGGCTCATGCAAAGCTCTGCCACATCACAACACTGCAGTTAAGCCCCAGCCACCCCATGAGCTGATTCAGATGGAGAAGTGGGTGAACTCCAAGCCCACCAGTGAGAGACAGAGGCCAGATCTCCCCAGGTCTCTCTGGAGCCCCTTCCCCCCTCTCCATTTAATTTTTACCTCCTCCTTTTCCTTTTTGTTTCCTGTCCTGTCATGTATTGCACAACACCATGAACTACCTTTGGTAGCTGCACTGTTTCAGAATCCAGCACCTATAGATGCCACTCATGAAGGACCCCTTGACCTTCTCAGGCCTCCCCGATGTTTCCCCTCTTTGCTCCCTAAAAACCATTTGATTCACCCTCTCATCCCGCCGCTCATCGGCGCTGCCACCCCGCTTACCTGCGCTCATCAGGTAGTCCCGTAAGAAGGGGACACGGAACCACAAGGAGAGCGTCATCAGGTGTGGGGTGATGCCTGGGAAGATGGTGGAAAACCCTGTTGCCTCTGTGCCGAAATTGATGAAGGCTCCCACCGCCAGGACCCCGTGGGGGTGAAATCCCACCAAGTAGTTCTGCCTAGGGTCCAACTCCGCTGTTTTCACCAGCTGGACAAGAGGAGGGATAAGAGTCAATGCCGTCACCTCAGCGCATGGAGAGTGGGCTATGGAGAACAGGGGGGTTCCCTTGCAGCCATCCCTCCTTCTGCTGGGAAAGATCAACTGCAAGAGCTCAAACGTTGTTCACTGAGATGCATTTCATTGCCTGTTTTTGTATCTCCCTCCATTTCTTGGCCTGAAAATGACATCTCTAATGCTACAGATCTTCATTGTTCTTTATGCTTTATTCTTTATTCATCTTGTGGATCCCTGCAGGCATTCAAGGCCAGGCTGGATGTGGCTCTGGGCAGCCTGGGCTGCTGGTTGGCGACCTGCACACAGCAGGGCTTGGAGCTGGATGAGCGTTGTGCTCCTCTGCAACCCAGGCCATTCTATGATTCTCTGATTCTATGATTTTACAGTCATGCAATGGGATGGGTCCAACCCCACTAACATGGACAGGGACACCTTCCACTAGATTAGATTTCCCAAAGCCCATATTGCTTTCAGCTGCTCTACATGTTGTTAGGAAACAACTTTTAAAACCTCCTCCAGTACATTTTACACTATAGGAAAAAAAAAAAGCAAAAAAATGAGATAACTCCTTATTTAGCCTCTTATAACCACCACAGCCAGAGCCACCCTGGTAGTGATTGTCCTGTCCTGGAACACATCAAGTAATTGAAGAACGCTTAGTATATCATTAGGTGAGAACCTCAGCTTCCAAGGACAAAAAATGATGCATTTCTTTACATTATGGACTACCCTACAACAGGCCAGCAGTTTGAGCCTGTGTTAGTTACCTAAAGAAACATGCAGGTCCATCAGGGAGCAATGGATGTCTGCCCAAGGTTGTTGCAATTTTACCAAGGAGTGAGAAATCATAAAATCATTATGTTGTTTGGAAAAGACCATTAAGACCAACCATCTTGTCTGACTGTCAGCACAACACCACCATGCCCACTGACCACGTTCAGCCTTCAGGGCTGGACAGGATGGACTGCAGCACATGGTTGGCCCTTGAGGGTTGGCTGTTGGGCAAGCCAAAAATCTCAGCCACTTTTGAAAAGTGAGAAGCATTGCTTGGGTGGCCCAACAGGAGAGGAGACATAACAGACAAGATTTGGCCTCTGTGGGTTACACTTGTGATGGCCCAATTGGAATGGAAGGATCAGTGTGACAAGTCAGCCTTGAGCTGTGCCACTGAGGAGATCCTGCAATCCCAATGTCGTACAGACAGGGCATAACCCTGCCAGAAGCATCCAACAGCCAATGCTGATGTCTTTGCAACCTTTAAATCGGGTGCTGAGGATGCTCTCAGCCTCAGGGCTGCCCATTACAAAGCCATCATGGATTTCCAGACAGCTCAAAGCACTTCTGTACAAGGAGAAACAAAGCCCCTGGTGCTTCACCCCATCACTGCCTGAGTGCCCCGCTTCTGTCCAAGTGCAGGGAGCAGCTAATGGGGCATTTGTTTTCCTAGAAGCACCCAGCGCCCTGAGTTCTACTTTACTTCTTGACATCATGGCTCATTTCCCACCTGTCCTGAAGCACTGTTGACTGTACACATGTGCCCATTCAAGCGCCTGCTCCTAATGAGAGGAAGAGACAAACAAAAGTCCATCACCACCCAAGTGCAAGAAGAGGGGCAGATGGCTGAACTGCTGAGCCCCTGCCACGATTTGCTCTGTTTTTGAGCAATCTCAGCTTGCATCAATGTAACCTGCATTTATCTTCAGTTTCCAAACAACCTTTCATCTCTGAATAATTTATAAGCAGGGTGAGATGCTGGGATGCGTCACAAGCCACTAAATCTCCTCAAGTGTGAGAAGGGAGGGTGGCAGCAGCCTGAGCACCTGGCTGCACCCCGTGGTTGTGCCACCCTCCTTGCTAATGAAAACTGGACTTGGGCAAGCACCCAGCCCTGCAATCTGCTCCCAGCCATGCTAGGACACCTCCCATCCCTAAAAACCTTCCCTAGGAGATGCTGCTTGCTGCTCACCTCAGTGAAAGGGGATGGAAAATCAGTGTCCAGTGGAGCTTACAGGAGGAACTGCTTCTGATACCCGATTCCTTGTACATCTAAGTGGCCTCAGAGCCACTAACATCTGGAGTCCTACCAATTGTAGTTGGGTCTGAATTGGGCCACATCCATGTGTTTTGTGGCTCAATCATGAGTTAAGTATCCAGAGCCCTGCTTTAAATTGAGGATAACTTTTCTGAAAGTGTGCTCAGGTGCTCGAATGGGCTGCCCAGGGAGGTGGTGGAGTCACCGACCTCAGAGGAGTCCAAGGAACATTTGGACGTTGTGTTGAGGGATATGGTTTAGTGAGAACCATTGGTGATGGGTGGATGGTCGGACTGGATGATCTGGTAGGTTTTTTCCAACCTTGGTCATTCTATGTTCTATAACAACTGGATGGTAGGAGCCCTGATGTTCAAGGTTTGATGGCCTGGTCAAGGTGGAACTGTCCCCTGCAGCAGCAATCACATCTTAATCACAGAATCACAGAATCACAGAACCGTAGGGGTTGGAAGGGACCTCCAGAGATCATCAACCCCCTGCCAAAGCAGTTCCCTACAGCAGGTCTCACAGGTCGGCATCCAGGCAGGTCTTGAACATCTCCAGAGAAGGAGACTCCCCCACCTCCCTGGGCAGCCTGTTCCAGTGCTCTGTCACCCTCACTGTAAAGAAGTTCCTTCACACATTGGTGCAGAACTTCCTATGCTGCAGTTTCCGGCCATTTCCCCTTGTCCTGTCTCCACTCACCACTGAAAAGAGTCCGGCCTCGCCATTCAGCCCCCCACACCTTAGATATTTATAGATCTGGATCAGGTCCCCTCTCAGTCGTCTCTTCTCAAGGCTGAACAGACCCAGTTCACTCAGCCTTTCCTCATAGCAGAGATGCTCCAGGCCCTTCACCATCTTTGTGGCCCTGCGCTGGACTCTTTCCAAGAGATCCCTGTCTTTTTTGTACTGGGGAGCCCAGAACTGGACGCAGTGCTGCAGATGAGGCCTCACCAGGGCAGAGTAGAGGGGGAGGATCACCTCCCTCGACCTGCTGGCCACGCTCTTTGCAATGCACCCCAGGATGCCATTGGCCCTCTTGGCCACAAGGGCACACTGCTGGCTCATGGCAACCTGTCATCCACCAGGACACCCAGGTCCCTCTCTGCAGAGCTCCCCTCCAGCAGCTCATCCCCCAACCTGTACTGGTGCATGCAATTATTCCTCCCCAGATGCAAGACTCTACACTTGCTTTTGTTAAACCTCATCCGGTTTTTAAACCTCATCTGTTTTTTTTTTTGCCCAGTTTAATGACATTGCTGAAGTATTTGCCTCTTTCAGCTTTGCAAAGGAAGGGAGAGAGGGTCCCTGTCTTTGTCGCAGGGCTCACAATTTGGCCAGAGCCTACAGAGAAACCATTTCCTTGCAAAAGACCAGGAAGGAAATCTGTAGCAGAGAAGAAACTTGGGTAAATTATCTTAAGCCATAGCTCAGTCTCTGGATGCTAAACCACCCTTCTTCTGGAAACACTCGAACACAGCAACTCCATCCATCCGTCTGGGTTGTCCCCACTGTTTGTTCTCTCCTTCCCCTCCTCCTGGCAGCGTCTGCACAGCAAGCTGTTCCCAGGCAGCCAGGAAAGTTAACACCTGGCAGCACCCAGCCCAGGCTCCGCACTGCAGCCCCGCAGTGCGTCATGGGGTTGAGGTGCAAGGGGTGGATCTCGTTCCTCCTGGCTTGACTGGGTTGTCACCTCTGCTCCTACTGAAGGGCATCTACTGCTCTGCTTTTTCTGGGCGAGTTGAACATTAATCACTGTCAAAGGACTTGAGGGTCCAGCCAAGCCGGTCCGTGTGTAAACACAGAAAGGAGACAAATTCTTGTCCTGAAGTTTTTCTTGGTAAGGCAAGACGAGTTTCTCAAGTTACAGGGGTGACAAATTAATGCACGGGACCTTCATCCCCAAAACAGAGAACTCTTATCAGCTTGGGGTCATGCACTCCAAGCTGAGCCATGGGTGTGTTGGCTTGAATGGCTTCCCCTTGTCGTGGCTGGGATGCTGGCTTGTGTCTTGTCTGCTGACAGCAGCCCTGACCCCTTGTCAGTGTGTTGTGAGTCCTGGTGGCGGGGCAGAAAGCCATTTAGATCCCAGATAGGGGGTTATCATGGCCCTCCCAGCTCATAAATTTGAACTTGAAGGGTGAGGTCTACTTTATTCTTTCTTGGATGTAATTGCTGAAGATGTTCAGTGCTCTTGATTGTATTATTGACTGTAAAAAGCTCCCCCTACTTTATCTACTTAAAAGCGGGTCCAGAACATGGGAAAGATCCTGTCCCCCATCTCTGGTGAGATTTGCTCCATGCATGGTCACCATCCATGTTAGGGAAATGCACACACAGACTTTTAGGGGCTCTAATAAGAGACCATGTACTGGTGAGGATCTCAAGCAAATTCAGTTTTAAACTGAATTAGCTAAACCACATTAACATCACAAGTAGATGCTCTCAGCTGGAATTAAAGTGGCCTTCATTCGTTATTTGTTTTGTTTTTCATTTCATTTTGCAACTGAATTAAGTGAATTAGGGCTTCCAAGGGACTGTATCAGCACAGGATTTCAGCACTGGTTTAATGAGGCTGTTTTAATTTCACCTTTTGAGATGTGGCTGGGGTTTTTGGTTATCACATGTGTGCTGGACGGTCTTGCCCCAAACTATAGGAAAAGGGAGGAAGGGTGATTCCCCATGTGAAACTGGTGCAAAAGTGCTCGAAGGAAGCAAAAGTGTGTTTTACATCAGCATATCCTTGGGTCAGATCAACACCTAGCCCCCAGCTGGCCTTGTCTGTAGGGCTGGAGAGATCTAAAAGCAGTTATGTGGCGAAATGGATGGAATCAGGTAGAGGTGAGCTTGGTCAATGCACAGAGCTTGCTGTGCCAGCAGGCAGATGGGCAGATCGCCATGTCATCACATCCTAAGGGACAGAGGAGCATGTGGTGGAGACAGGGATTGGCCAGGAAAGCTGGTCAGAAAACCTGTACCTTCTTCATTTAGTCTCCCAAACTGAATTGCTATTGTGTTCCTATCACTCTCTGGCTCCAAACTCACTTCCAATGATGTTATGCTCAATAGTCTGCTCTCAAGTAGGATAAACTTCTGTTCAGTTTCACCCTAAGCAGATCCTCAGGTCCCTGGCTTTCCACCCAAGCACCACCAAATTGCATCTCGTGCAGGAAGAAGCATGCAGTCAGGTCCTCTATGGGATGACAGCAACCAAGGAGCAAGCCCCAGGAAGAAAAAATGGTACCAAAGAGAAGTCAGCACATCACCTAAGGGTGGTGGGAGAAAAAGGGAAAAGCAAACATCCGAGTGCCAGCAGCTCCTCAGGAAAAATGGGTTTCTGTTCTCAGCAATGGAAAGAGTCTGAGAAAATGTCCCTGGGCACTGGTGCTTTCTCCAGGTGCCACAATAGTGAATGCACTTGAGGGCAGAAAAGGGAGGTCCAAGTCACAGCGCAAGGGAGCTCTTCAGAAGATGGGAGAGAGTTGTTTTTGTGTCACTGGGCTGTATGCTGCTTTTGCCTGAACAATCCTTCTTCTCTCCTCTAGCCAACAGAAGGAAGCAAAATGAACAGCCAGAAGTACTGGCAACCAGAAATGATGTTTAACGTCATGGGCCAAAGCACAAGGTCCCCAGTCACAAACAGTACTATTCTGCTGTGAAAAGGAAGAAAATACTCCTGGGAGGGCTTGGTTCGTGTGCACTTGGACCACTCCACTCTACAATGCCCTGTGCTGACCCAGAACCACGGCACACACAAATAACCCCCGTCACAGTTTATGCAATTGTGAGAATGAATGAGCTCCTAGGGAACTGCTGAGTCTCCAGTGACACGTTTTGGTTAAGCTAGCAAGAAAAAGAAACCCAGTAAGAGCCCAAGGGCAATGCAAGAGGTTGGGACTCTGCCAGTTGCTATAGATAACAACATCCAACCAGCACTTACAGAACCACAGGGTCATTAAGGTTGGAGAAGACCATTAAGATCATCTAGCCCAACCATGGAGCCCTCAAGAATAACCCCAAGGGTGACAAAAAGTGTCCTGTGCCTCTTCAAGAGGGGACAACAGTGCCTTGAGGACTACAGGAACCTTCTACACACACAGACATTTTTCAGGTTGCCCTGAATAAAGCTGGTGAGGTGATGCCTGCTGGGCTGCCCTGATGGGTGACAGCACCTGAAGGCAGCATTTGTTGAAGGCCTTCCCCTTAGGCATGTCCATGGTGCTCCTCAGCTGAGATTACCAGAGCACCGTGGCTGCAGGAGGAAGGCTGGTGAACAGCAGTGAAGATGTGCTATTTCTTGGCCACAGGGGATACTCGTAGAGCCACAGAATCATGAACATTGGAAAAGACCACCAAGGTCATCAACCCATCAGTGATGGAGGAATTCTAATGCTGGGTGTGTTCCCACCATGCTGATAATGGATGCTCCTCTGGTGGAGAAGGATGTATGAGAGAGGAGGTACGAGTTTGGGCAGAGACCTGGCAGACTAATTACTGGCTGTTCGTTGAACACAGCTCCAAAATCTCTCTCAGAGGTACCACCAGCCCCAGCAGACATTGTGGAATATCTGCTCAACCATTGGCTGCCCAGAGAGATTTGCTGTGCATTTCTGGGGATATCAACCCCGCTTCTAAAGCCCAGGTGAGCTCAGCGTAGTTTGCAGGCCTATCATGGTCATGTGAAAATGAAGATGAGAATGACTGAAATACAGGGGGAAAAAAAACCTTCCTGGAAAAGATGCTCCTGGGAAAATGCCTGGGATCCCAGTGCTCATCCACCTTTCACAGTCACGCAAACTCACTCGGGTCCTGGCAATCCCCTAATTAAACTAAGGGCAAAAGCAAAGAGCAAAGCAATTGTGCACGACTGGGATCAGCAGAGGGTGCTCCTCGCACATGCTGGGAGCCCGAGCGCTCCTGCGTGGCAGATCCCCGCTGCAGCAAAGTGCAAATTCACTCTGCCTAGATCTCCCCTCTCATTGCTTCTGCAGCAGCCAACATGCCCAGGGATCCCATAGGAGCAGCATTTCAATCCCTTTCCTGAAATACCCAAGGGCAGAGCAGTGCAGGCGGCTCTTGCTGCCTCCCCACCTCCCAGCACTGACGCTTGACCACAACGAGTTTGCAGCGGGGATCCGGGAGGATTAGGAGCCACATTTAATCTTCCCAGAATAACTAATCCTCCAGAGCTGAACAAACTCAATCTACACACAAATGCAGCCCGTGGTGCTGGATCCATGTCCCCCAAATCCATGTCCCCATTTACCTCTGTGCTGGTTGGGATTTTGGGCAAGCAGGAGCATGTAGCTCAGACCAAAGCTCAGCTCAGTTCTGCTCCTTGAGAGATTACAGGATGGCTAAAGCAATATTTGCAGTGCTTAACATCTGTGCTGTTAGGAACAAATCATTTCCCATTCCCAAATAATTTATTCGAGCCCATGCTCAAAGGATATGAAATGAAATGCCTTTCAAGCAAGGGAAATGTGTGACTTCTCCCAGAGCAGCACGGAAAAGGCTGCTCCAAACCCTCCCTGTGCACCCCAGTATGCTGCAAGCAAAACCAGTAGCTATGCTCCCTCTGCTGGTTTTTCTGCCTGGCAGTGCCAGCTGGTAGGAAGTCATAGAGTCAGAATTAGGTTGGAAAAAATCACTGAGAACATCCAATCCAACCATCAACCCATGCCCAACCATCAACTCAACCCCAGCCATCAACCCATGCCCAACCATCAGCCCATGC